TAAAGAAATTATCACATTTATTGTTCTTTAGTCACAGAGCCATACTGAAAAGTTCTAACAATATTTTAATAGTAAACATCCAAACATATCTGTTGAAAATGAACAAACAGTTTAACTTTCTCGGATACTCGTGTTTATGATTTTTAAAATATGTGCATACCGTAAACAAACTTTTCTAGGACTTTGTGTTCACTGTAGTAGTTTTTCCTAATGCACATAAGGTAAATTAAGTAAGCAATTATTTTAATTTGTATAACGAAATAAACCCTATTACTTCTTATATTTTTTCACGTAAACGAATTTAATTGGGCTACGATTGATTTACTACCAATGAAATGCTGAATAATATGCCGACCACCCAGAGAGTCTGGAGTACCACGGAAGCCAAAAGCAACAGTAATAATACCTCTAGTATTACCATATTTATAACAACTGTAACGTTAAAAATAAATTAGCTTTATTAATAGGCAGAGTTTATCCACATGTTTAAATTAAATGTATTTCTAACTGTATGGTAAGAATAAAATTTCGTTTTTCATATCAGAGATATACTACTTAAAAGTAGAAAGTATTTTGTTAACTACAAACTTGTAAGCCCGTCTTCTGAGGAGGAATACGATGGCTGATTACTTAGCTTGAAATTTTGTATCACTACGAAGAAAGGTAAAGTACTCTAAGTTGACCACTTTCAAGGTTAAGATAAGTAAAGCTGCTCTTTTTCTTTTGTGTATTTAAACATAACCATGGCAGTGGGGGAGTTATGTATCTATAACAGTGGCAGTGGGAGTTCACTTCTTATTCATGAAATAGAAGCAAAGCTGATGAGATACCAAGCGTATTTGACAGTCAATTCTCATTTTACCAAGACAGCATTTACTATTAAAACTGTGGTATATTAGTATACTACAAATAGTATTATTACACAACTTAACTACACATAACATCACTCGCTTCAACAGCGAAGGTAACTAACTATATGGTTTTACAAAACAGTCTTTCACAGATGTAATTCTATAGGTTTCCTTTGTTTTGGGGCAACAATATGACGATTCCCAATATATAATAAAATTACCCAAGTTTATAGACTAGAATAGGTAACATTATCATATATTTAACGTTTACAAGATCAGTTAAAGAAATACTTAACACAAAAAACTCGATAAAATAAGATGTCAATAACAACGTAAAGATACAGAAGAACAACCTGCAATTCAGAAATAAATACGAATAAAACTATATCGTTAAAACATGGTTTGTTTTTTACCAGTTATTAAATACACCGTGTCATCAAAATTAAGTTAACTGCGTAGATTAGAACTAACAAACTGGTAATGAATGATGTCAGAAAAATATGTAGGTTCCATAAGTCTTGATACAAAATGATAAAAACTCCATAGTCCGAGCGCCTTCGAAAACTGTTTGTTTGTTTTGAATTTCGCGCAAAGCTACAGGAGGGCTAGAAAAGAGTTCCATATGACACCCCCATCCAAAAATTGTAGAATTGCCTGGATAAAAAAGATTCTGAAAAGGGTTTATTTTAAGGGGCGTATTAGAATAATTGGGGCATGGCTTTGACAAGCATTTGTGTGAATACATGTGGAGAACATTATATTCTGATAAAAGTAGCCTTTCTGATGCCTTTATAGAAGACATTTGTAAAGTTTATCCCCAAGAAGATTGTACATCTAATTAATGAAGTAAGTGGTATAATAATGTATCAAAATTATCAGATCAGACTATTAATATGATTTATTAATACATAAATATTTCTTTGATGATTTATTTTTTTAAATTGAATGGGGATGCCATATGGAACTCTTACCGAGGGCTAACTGCGCTAGCCGTCCCTAATTTAGCAGTGTCAGACTAGAGGGAAAGCAGCTGGTCATCCCCACCCACCGCCAACTCTTGGGATACTCTTTTACCAACGAATAGTGGGATTGACCGCCACATTATAACGCCCCTACGGCTGAAAGGGGCGAGCATGTTTGGTGTGACGGGGATTCGAACCCGCGACCCTCAGATTGCAAGTCAAGCGCCCTAACCAGCTGGCCATTCGAAAACTGAAGAAGCAAGGTCCACCTTTCGAAAACGGTCGGGATATAGGGGTTTCATCATTTTATGTAATAAATGGATACACACAAAAACTAAAAGCAATTGTGATTTTTTCCCTCCAAAACAAAACAGTTTTTACAAGTTTCTTAAATTACATGTAAATCTACAAGTTTTTAAAGATTTGTTTTGGGGCAACAGCACTATCTAGGTAATTCTCCATACAGGTAAGATAGTAATAAACCTGTCATGTGTTTATACCATCAAAATAACCGACATGTCGCGCAAACCTGATTGCGGCAAACACACAAACCTTGAGTGACGTTTATGCAACACATTTAAAGATGTGTTTCCTAATCTCACCATTTTGAATCGTTTAATTATTTAACTTTAGCATCTACGACAATGAACTTTGACGGCAAAACTTTGGCTACATCCCCCCCCCCCCCACATAAATAGTTCACATCTTACAGTTATGTATTATGCAACGGCTACGAATAGCTTTGGTAACTGTCAGAAAGGGCTATCTTAAATGGCTAATGTATATAGTATTAAATATATATAAAATTATGGAAGATACTTTACACGAGCGCACACGGGGTATGTTAAAACCCATTCAAACAAACAAAAGATTCGTTCGTTTAACTTTAAGCATAGCAAGAGAAATAAGGGGGAAAACACGTTTTTAAGGTGAAAGTGGTGAAACTACATTGTAACCAGTGGCGATTCTAACAAAAAAGTTTCATACTAACAATACTCATTTTTCTTGGAAATATTATTGCTAACGGCACTAAATACGAATGAGAGTTGAACACGCGACCAAGTACATCATCACATTTCACTACACGCAGCAATGTGTAATATAATCGATCACAAAAACGTTACTTCACCTAGCGGCTTAGAAACAATACGTTACAACTTCACCTAGCGGCCTAACCAAAACAAAAATACCAGCTCACGGCACGCTAACTGAAGAGAGGATGACTTTACAGGGCAGCCCACAGCCGAATGTGGGCAAAATTTTGTTTTTCAAATTAGTACGATGTGAACACAAACATAAGTGCAGACCAATACTTGAGGAATTACTTTGTATCTCAAAAAAAAAAAAAGTGAATCGCCATGACACAGAGATTTAAAAGTAAAGAAGTTTGTATGTAAGCACTACGTAATCTTAAATACTTACTGAAAAAAAGCTTCATTTTAGTGATAAAAATAAAATAATAGAAGACGTAAACTCCTCATTAGTTAAAATATTACACTTTCATTTGAAAATGGACAGCTCACAAAACGTACAATGAGATTAGAACTGAATTTAACATTATATTTCCACAAAATGGTTACAGTGACAAAACATTCAGTACATGTGTGTACTACCTACCTAAAAAAGAAATTTTTGTTTGTTTGTTTTGAATTTCGCGCAAAGCTACACGAGGGCTATCTGCGCTAGCCGTCCCTAACTTAGCAGTGTCAGACTAGAGGGAAGGCAGCTAGTCATCACCACCCACCGCCAACTCTTGGGCTACTCTTTTGCCAACGAATAGTGGGATTGACCGTCACATTATAACGCCCACACGGCAAGCATGTTTGGTGGGACGGGGATTCGAACCCGCGACCCGCAGCTTGCGAGTCGAGCTCCCAAACCACCTGGCTATGCCGGGCTAATAATTTTTTGTAAAATATAATTATAACGCTTTATTGTCATTTAGACGCAATAACAGTAAAACTGGTTGTAAAAACATCAGAATATTCAACGCTCAACAAGTTTTGAGCTACTGTTGTGGGTTTTTACGTCTATTTATGAGTTATATTTGTAGCTTTTTTTATTTTATTTTAGAAAGCACAGTGCATTGAACCCCCGTGATTATAATCACACACGAGTCAAAAGTTTCACGAGAGATGAACGTCATATCACAAAATGTTTCGTCTACTAGTACCGAGAAACCAAGTAGACTGCTTGAAAGTTAGATGACTAAAGTAACATAAGAGGCCCTGCTTGCTAACCAGTTGATTGTTGTTACGGGCAAGATGAGTGATCAGGTGCTCGTGGCAAAGTGCAAGCGATCACGTGGCTATCGTAAGTTATCAGTATTTCGGTGACATGTAAACTCTTGGTACAACCAAATAGGCTTCTTATTCTAATAAAGCTTTGTTTTTATTGTTTAAGCACAAAGCTACACAATGGGCTTTCTGTGCTGTGCCCACCACAAGTATCGAAACCCGGTTTTCAGCGTTATAAGCCTTCAGACTTATGAAGCATTTAGGAATTATAATTTGAAATTACTTTCGAGCAAATTCGTTTTTTTTTTCTGCACCTAGGAACATTTTTTCATATAACTATAATAATTATATATAAGCTAACTTCTGGCGATTTGAATAGTACAGACTATAAAACATTTTTTATTTGGGCGAGAGACTTTCAATAATCATAACAGGATATCCTACTAAATTACTTTTTTTTCTTTGAAAACAAAGAGGACAAGAGACCAATATACAAGAAAATTCTGCATCAAGGCAAACTGTTGCTGAAAACGGTCATGAAATCAAACTTGATTACACCAGTCTTAGTAACTTAGCAACACCAAACTTAATTACAAAAGCGTACTTAACTTGAAGGACCCCAACAACAATAAATTTTGAAATTTGTATGCATTGTATACAATTGTGCGTATTGGGGGGGGGGCAAATGCTATGCTACTGCTCCAGGTCCCATCTAACCTAAATTCGCCTCCGCCTAGCAACATCAAACTTTGTTACAGAAGCCCACTTGGCAACACTACAATACGGGATTTGTTAGTAATGTTCGAACACAAATACGTATTATATAAACATGAAAAATACTCATAGAAGTTTTGTAACCACTAACGTGCGGCCATTTTTACCCTCTAACCACCAAACAAGAAAAAAGGGGCATATCCCCCCTCCACACATAAACATTATGCAATACTTACCACACAAAATTTAGAACAAACATTCCGTTGATTTAAGTGGTTCATGAAGTTAGTTCATCATTACCGAAGAACTGTCTGGTCCTGGGATGACGGTGGATCAGCGATAGCTACAGACGTCTTGTATTACAATAATATATATCTAGTATATACTGTCAGTAATTTACTTTTTAAGTTTTTTTCTATCTTCAGATGTTTAAGGTATTGCTGATAGTTTTCTCAACCGAGTGATTTGGTTCAGTGTGGTCACATTCAATATCAGAACAGTTAAGTCTATAATTAACTTAAGCTTGTATGACGTGCAGAAAATGAGTATTCAGAAGCGTCGACAAAAATGTTGAATACTACACCATACTTCGTGAAAAACGTCGAGTCACACCACGCTTCTTGTATAAAAGGAAAGTTTTACCAACCTACGACGTCATTTACACATAACAACCAAAGTACAAACAGCTACGTGGTTGCACAACGAGCAAGTGAGCGATCAGGTGCTGCGAACGTGCCAACTGTGAAACAAGGCTGTTTGGACGAGTCTAAGAATAATAGTCACAAAGGGAAGTTGGTGATTACCATCGACACAATACTAAATCTGATTTGAGTTTATCGTGAAACAACGATACCGTTTTGGCATCACGATCCAGTAAGATATAAATACATGGTAATATCATTTTCGTCCATAAATATACGATTCTTATCCAAAAACGTTTACCACGTGCGCAAGAATTAAGTATATATTATTGAAAGACGCGGTTGATTATGAGATATGTCCCATTTAATCAAGCAACACTTTCGAAATATTATATTTTTATATAATTTATTCTTACTTGAGAAAAAAGCGGGGTTTGGGTGGTATTAGTATCAATCTCTAAATTACACTCGGGTGTTATGCTTAACAAAATAATGACGCAACTGTGATATAGTATTTATTCTCCTTTGGGGAACATTTTTGCAGCTTAAATTTTCCTTTTGATATATTCTTTCAACACCAAATAACCCTGTGATAAAACGTATTTTCTATGCATCGGGAAATCACTCCGAATAACTACTGTAATAACAAAATCCTCACTGCTATTGCGCCAAGAGGCACTTTCGTCGTGAGCGTTTCAAAAAATCCCCACTGCCATTGCGCCAAGAGGCACTTTCCTTCGTGGGCGTTTCAAACATTTTTTTTTTCTTTTTAATCTTGTCTTTAACGAAAAGACGCAGAAACTGAATGTCCAGCGCGGAGCTTTTCCCGCCCCCTTTTTCTTTAGTCATATTTGCTACGTACTTCACTGCACTCGCACGTAATCGGCTTCATCAAAGTACTTTTCATGAAACATTAATAAAATCTAAAGAACAGTGATAACTTTGGAAAAAGTAGATTATAAATGCAGAATGAAACAGTAGTTTAATTACACATTTATCATAATGGTGGAAGCTGGTGAGCTGACAATAACACAAACAAGGAAAACGCGAACATCTGACGGAACTTTATCATTATCACTGTATTTCTCTGCAGTACTGTTTTAAGTTATTCTACGCAAAATTTATTTTATTAGACATAATTTCTGAGGCTCGTTTGGCTTAAATCTTTGAGACGCAATCACAAGACTTAACATAACAACAGTAATTTAACAATGTCAGGCTAATATATCAAGACTTGTCTAGCAAGGAGACGAAGTTTAAAGCTATTGCAAATTCCACGAAAAGTACTTAATGGGTTAAACAGGTCCTATTATATTACGGGTGTGATTGGCGCTGTTTAAAGTTTTATTTTTTTTCTCATTTTGCTTACAGAGGCTTGAATCTTTTGCTTACGTATTAAAACACGAAAAGAGTAGTTACATGTAACAAATGATTGTTCGAAAACACTACACTATAAACTTGACACGCTAGGTGTTTTGATGCCCTAAGCAATTTTTCAATCTCACTTTTCATTATGAAACAAAACAACAGGACGACAAATCATATCAAGTTTATTTATTTGATAAGGCCCGGGAAGATTTTATAGCAACATTAAAAACATTACTACTTTACAAGTTCATAGTTAACGATTACGGAAGTTTATTTTTTCTATCTTTTACTGAGGCGATATCGTACACAACTCGCTACAAGTCCAGTATCATCAGTGTAATTAGGGCCTGTAAATGTCAGACAGTTCTGTTTCACTGACATCAGTTGATCGTCCTGATATGACAAACAGATATTGAGGTCCATGTTGTATAATTAGGGCCTGTAAATGTCACACAGTTCTGTTTCACTGACATCAGTTGATCGTCCTGATATGACAAACAGATATTGAGGTCCATGTTGTATAATTAGGGTCTGTAAATGTCACACAGTTCTGTTTCACTGACATCAGTTGATCGCCCTAACATGACAAGCAGGTTTGGATATCCATGTTGTGTAATCAAGGCCTGTATATTTCATACAGTTCTGTTACACTGACTCTAGTTTCTCGTCCTAACATAACAAGCAGGTTTGGATATCCATGTTGTATAATTATGACCTTTAAATGTCACACAGTTCTGTTACACTGACTTCAGTTTCTCGCCCTAACATGACAAGCAGGTTTGGATATCCATGTTGTGTAATTATGACCTTTAAATGTCACACAGTTCTGTTACACTGACTTAGTTTCTCGCCCTAACATGACAAGCAGGTTTGGATATCCATGTTGTGTAATTATGACCTTTAAATGTCACACAGTTCTGTTACACTTACATGAGTTGATCGTCCTAATATGACAAGCAGATATGAAGGTCCGAGATATATCATTAGGACCTGTAAATGTCACACTGTAAAAAAAACTCTATAACCTGAGCGCTTTCGAAAGGTGGACCTTTCTTTTTCAGGAGCAAATAATTCCCAGTTTGCCCCTGAAGAAGAAAGGTCCACCTTTTGAAAGCGCTCGGGTTATAGGGTTTTTATCATTTAATACTTCAAATTATACGCTCTGTCTAGCTCCACCAATCAGATCAATAGGTACTACGAAACGACTACCTTGAATCTCCAGGTAAATGTCAGGCCAACAACTTAAGAAGGTCAGCTACTGGTCATAATGAAAAATGAATGAAAACACATAGACAGCCTAATACTGGTAATAGCTAGAAAAGTATAATATTTAATTTACCAGTTTAAAGCGATCAAAAACGCGAGGACAACCAAAGTGTCAAAATGTGCTAAAATTTTGAGATTACAAAATAGAAAGGTTTTAAGAATAGCACACACAATACCATTATATCTATCAACTGCATAATAATAAGAACGGACCATATAGTGTTACAGTCAACATAACGCTACTTTTATATGTAGCAAAAAACGTTGCAGTAATGCACACAGTTATTGTTTTACAAGTTTAGATGACAAAATTCAGATACCTCAAACTGTTTTGACGTACTTGCGCTATAGGTCTTCGTCAGGTATACAACTTGAAATAAAATATATAACCAAAATGTTTTAACGTACTTGCGTTTGTCTTCGTCAGGCTTACAACTTCAATTAAAACAATAAGAATGTTTTGTTATCAAATATTCTGGCATCAAATTAAACTCCATCTTCCTCACTTAGTGATATCTCATTTAGAACCACGTTAATACAATATACATGGTTAAATAACGCATATTCATTAAACCCAAATATTCCAGAGGCACACAATGATTTATTTGTCTGGAACAGAAAGATCCCTCAGAAACTGATTACTCAGAGGCTATCGTCTGGTTCTTTTGTACTGTCAATAACTAATGAAAGGATAATAGTAACCTTTACGTATTGTACTTCTGTTAAAGTCTAGGGTTCAAAAGCAAAGGTCACATGATATCATGAAAGCGTAGGACTACTTTAAGTAACATACAAATTATCATCGGGGGTACTTTTAGGGTCAAAGGGCGCCCAGAAAAGATTTACGTGTAACAGTAATTATGAGGAACCAACTTTAGATTCGCCCTCTGGAAGTTTTATGTGTGTGTGCCAATTATTTTGAATGATTGTATTATTTACAGGCTATGAGAAGTTTATTTCCTAATTATGACAAGCCCTGGAGAGTTGTTATAGTCGATGTTTAATTCTTTTATAAATTGTTATACCTGCGATACATATATATCTCTATGGAAATATGGAACTCCCCCCGAAAAGTTCTGTTCGTTAAATGGAGTAATTTGCTCGTATTTTCCAGTCTCCTTCAGCGGGAACTTTCATTCATTTTTCAGCAAACACTCTACTCCAAATCTCTATGGCAATATCTCCATTGCAAGTGTGAAGACTTCAATTACTTCAAAAGTTGGAAAAATTCTTTTGAAAGTCTTTGCCAAAACTAATTGGTTACAATTACTTAGTTGGACGTCATCAAAATGTAAAAGAACTACTTCTCGAATTGATGCACCTGTAAAGTTACCTCTGTCTCCAAAAATACACTTTCATTAGCAAAACGAGGGTCGGGCTAATTCGAAAGGTCAATGGGTTTACGTTTCTTTGAACTTACGTCTTTAACCATTAGAGATTCACCAGTGGATGTTAGCTCAGAGGTAAACGTGTACACTACATTGACCCTAAGAACGCCATTTTTAAACACGAAACTAAACTAAGCCTAAAATGCTAATTACAAACAACCAAAAAAAAAGTAGTGTGTGTGTGTGTGTACCAATAATTAGTAGGAGTTGCAACATATTTCCAACAGCTGATTATCAGTGCTAATGTCATAAGAGTACCCCGAGACTGTTCATGTTAGATATGATTCTAATTTGAACAAAAAAACATCCTGTTAGTGTGTTAAAATTATTGGAGAAATGAAAAAACACCTAAATTATCAAAACCTTAAAGTATGTTAGTAGAGAATTAAGAATTGAATCAGAAAACATAAACTAGTTTGTTTGTTATATCGTTTGTTTTGTTTGTTGTTAAATCCAGAGCTACACAATGGGCTAGCTATGATCTGCCCAACACGGGTATCGAATCCCGGTTTTTAGCATTATAAGCCTACAGACTTTGTGACGGATTTACTATTATATATATGTTTTAATAACGATATTTGTTTACGTTGAATTTATATTAGAAATGTACATAACATACTGTTAAATATGTGTTGCAAAATTCCCGCCTATTCTCTAAAGTTATAGAATATTCTCGAGTGTAAGAATCAACAATATATGTGTGTACATAAAACACTAATGTATCTTTAGTATTGTTACGTAAGCTGAAATTTCGAGAAACTCTCCACAAGCCTATAAATATAACCAACGCAACGCGCCAAAAAACAGTATATGTTATTGGTTTGCTATAAACTTCAAAAGCTATAACTGTGATTTTTATAACGCTTATTAATCGGGACACTTCAGATATTTGACCAGGAACATTTATAAATTTCGAACGTTACAAACCATTTAACCTTAGTGCATTCACATCGGATATTAGTACTTTTACGAAAACATTACCTAGCTTATTCGGTGGGAAAAATTCGGTGTGATCAGTGAAGACCACAGAGCTAGC